GCTGATATTAGCATTAAAGCAGGGGTGTCCAATCCTGGTCCTCAAGGGCCACAATCCTGCATGTTTTCCTTCTTCCAACACACCTGATTCAAATGATCAGGATCACTATCAGACTTCTGCAGAGCTTGATGATGAGCTGATCATTTGAATCAGGTGTGTAGGAAGAGGGAAACATCTAAAACATGCAGGATTGTGGCCCTCGAGGACCAGGATTGGACACCCCTGCATTAAAGCTTGTATTTGTAGGACACGTTGATGAGCCTGCACCGCTTTGAATCATGCTTCTGTTTGTTCTTAATTTATTCCCACGTCCATTTTACACCGTCCTTTTACGACTACTTTCTACCGCCGTGGTTAACACGGCAGCTTCCTGTGTCAGTCACAGTGACACTAACACAGCTTAATGATCATCATGCAACCACTTGAAATTTGAACTCACACACTCTCAATAAAAGGTTGCAAATGCGCCATTTTGGTCGCAGTCTGGAGCCCCGAATAGTGTCGCCGAAAGACTGACATCAACACACTGAGGGTTAAAGTCTATTCAGTTTCTTGTAAAACGTGAAGACGTGAGAAGATCGACGGCATTCTTGTGTATCTGTGCAGCAAAAATGAAACTGCAGTCATTTCTAAAGCTCACAAGTCAACACACTGCAGATTATTTCAACCAAAGCACAAATGACGGGAACTAATTGTGCTGTCGTGTGCGGTTTTACTCGGCTCAGAACGGACACTTGACAGTAAATCCACTCAGACTAAAAGCAGCGCGTCTCTGTCAACTTCACAATGAAAGCGTATTTGCCAAAACTTTCCATTGGTGTTGCTTTTACCCTCTTTTGGGGCAAAGCCAATAGTTCTTCCATCAAGGGAAAACCCCTACTATTGGGTGCAGGACTTTATTTCTGGACGGGACTTTCTGCATGATGTTTCTCAAAATATTACAAAAAAATGCAGGTAATTGATGAGACCTTAAGCTGATGTGATAATCGAAGGGAACATTTTGACCATGATTTCGATTGGATCGTTTATCCCTGTCCTTGATATTAAAGGTTCCAACCAGCAACAGATTAGCCCAACTGGAAAGCGAGGGGGAAAGATCCAGCTGGGCATAACCAAAGCTGACAACAACGCTTCTAAAACTCCCCAATTAACATGTTGTTTATTTAATCCACACAAAGAACTTATGTCCAAATACACAAACACACCGAGCTACCCATTTCCTCTTTCCTACTCTTTGTGCTGGTTTAGTGTTTCTTTATCACAAATGCTTGTTGTGAACTCACCATACAATTACCAGCTAATCTACATCTCAATTAAAGCGATCTGTGCAGTCTGTCCACATGAACTGATGTCCAGCTGCAGCACTTCCAGCCCTGTACCTGCTCTTTTGCTGTATGAGCTGCAAGTGTTTGATTCCAACAAGTTGACTGTGGTTCTTCCAGTCTGTGTGGCTCCAGTGCATTTGCATGACTGGATGTTTTCATGCATCACGTGTCTGTTTGTGTGTGAATGGACTGGGCTGAATCAGTAAACACCGGTTTGAATGCAAACCGGTCATTACCAGAGGAGCCACACCCAAGTCTGTCCTCCCTCCTCCCCTCTGTCTTTCTGAAAGAAGAGCCTGAGCACATCGACTGCTCTGGAATCGGAAAGACTGTTCACACACACACACACACACACACACACACACACACAGTGACTTAAACCAATGCTGCAGCGTAGGCAGTGACAGTTCATTGTGTTTGTCTAATTCCAATTAAAAACTGAACTTCCCATCTCCACAGAAGCCGTCTGTGACTCCGGGTGTAATCGGTTTCTGAAGTGTGGAAATGAAACTGGTGGGACAGTCCAGGTGTCATCTGCATAATGATCACTTTTAGCCATTTAATCACAGACAACACACAAACAGTCCCTCTATTGTATCACACAGGGAAGCCAGCGTGGTCGCTCTACCAGAAAAGTCTGTTTTGTGTTTTCTTTGCTTTTTACATGGGAGACATGATTATAACAAAAATCATAAACTACACATCTCCTGGATGATGTTTTATGTTCTGATGGACGCACAATGCACGGTTTGTTGTTGCATCAGAAAGACCGTAATTATGGCTGGAAATGAAATGAACGCTTTTTAATTTTTTTGGAGGGAAACAAGTCCCTGGAGTGAACGGTGGCGCTCAACAGGAGACATCTTCTGTGTTTGCTGCAGGTGGCGTGTTTTAGTTGCCTAAAGGTCATTTCAGTAAATGAATAAAACCACCGTGACTCGTCAGCGACTCGCAGCTTCACAAAGGAATCATCTGCTTTTCTCCGATACCTTTAGAATCTCAACTTGACACGCTACATCGTAGATTACCGTGATGCTGATCAGAGCCCACGTCATAGCCCATGTAATACACTTTCACTTCTGAGATTGGTGCGCTGCTGTGTCGGTCTGCAATCACAACACCAAAACACAAGTTAGCGTCGGGGGTTTTTCTCTTTCACTTTGCTGAGTTCCTTCATGTACTTATAACAACGGTCGCTGAAACAGAGCGGATCGTGTCGAAGTTGGAGCTGATGAATATTGTTGCTGAAAACGACAGGGAAAAGAGAGAAGACGTCGGATCATGTTGAGTCTGACTGGTGGAGCTCCGGGAACAGCAAAAGCAGCGAATGACTGTACTGGGAGAACACTGGCTCCTGCCTTTGCATAACGAGCGAGCCAGATACGATTACAGCTTATTGGATTTTGATTCACGGAAGCATTCTCTTTGCACCAATCAATAAGCTGTGTAAACATGGCAACACGTGTCTGTAGCGCCTTATCAAAAACCACCACATTTGCCAGATCTGATAGTTTGTCAGTGATTTTTGAGACTTTTTGTTCCGGTAACATTTTGATAAACCTGCTTGTTTTTAGACAGCTCTGATGGAATTAGGTTTAATTTACACTTGTGCCCTGAATGAGCAGTAAGTGGAACATTCACGGTTGTTGTTGTCATGTGTGTTCACATTTCCAGCAAAGTTTACATCAGGTTGTGGTGTCGCTAAAGCAAACCCACAGTGCGGTTCAGTGCTTTCAATCAGAATGCAGCTCATTCACACGCGATCTGGTTTTGTAGGTGCAACTTTTTGTGTGATTTGTCATTTCATTTTTACCAATTTTAAGGCCTGCCTTCTGGAGAATTCAACTCAAAAACAATCAGAGCTGAAGAGGGCAGCGTATTTTTGGCATCATTAACCTTTCAGCACAGTGTAGTAGAAATATTCTAAGAGGAAATTGAATTTCTGCAGCTCCTCTTGGCTTTGTTTTCCAGCCCGTGACAGGAGAGTTTATCAGTGGATGTTGACTTTTAGAGAGACTATCATCGACTCATCTGGTGGAAGGCAAATACAGCGAGGAGGGAGGAGCTGCAGGAGGAGGGAGGTGTGACTTTTTTTTTTTTTTTTTTTTACTGCAGCTTTATCTGGTAAAGCACAATTCAAAGTCTGATTGCGCCACATGATGCACATTCTTTCTGCACCAATTAGGACATACTTGATTGATTAAGTGGTGCTGAAAAAGCAATTTAATTCCTGAATCACATTTGAGAACTAGAAAAAAAAAAAAAACAACTGTGTGGTTGTGCACCCTGATAACTGAATAAGTGTCATCTTCACGTTTGTAGCGTCCTTCTTCTGGTGCCGGCCGACTCGTCCACTTCAACGGCAAAAATTATTTTAAAAAAAGGTGATTTTGTGTTTTTTCTGCAGCACAAACATCCCATAATACATCCGTAATTGTAAATTGGATTTGGAAAATTTCAAATGAAAACTATATTACCCAATTTAGGAAGGTGGTGGAGATGAGAACATGAACTCATTTACATATTAATTATATGAAAAAGGGATGCAGTACCTCAGATTCATTAAGCTAGATTTATATTCTTTGAGTAATTAACAACAACAATAATAAAAGTAAAACTCTGCATTTAGAGGCTAAAGAAGCTAAAAAAAAACCCTCAAATGTTGAATGTTGTCTAAAAACAAGCTGGTTTATCAGAACTTTCCTGAACAACTGGCCTCATATTTGCTGTTTTTTGATACAGATATGGTTTAAATATCCAGCTCTGTCAGTGTTGTTGTAATTAACTGTATATTGGATGTATTATATAAAAGATACAGGAGATGTTGGGCAGAAACCATCAGACTAGAACTCATTTGTTCAGTGTGAATGGCCCCAAATCCTGCCGGTTCCAACATCCTAAATGTAAAGATGAACAGTTTTCCTGCTTTTTACATCACTAATGTCATGCTTTTTTTTTTTTCATAAAGCAACAATTAATAAATTAAAAGATAATAATCCAGAGCTTATCATTAATGGAAATGAGTGCTTTTTGTAGGGCATTAACTGATGCGTCTTATTTTTCTGCTCCCCTCTCTGATGTGTAAGTAGTAGCACACATTTTATTCAGTACGCTCAGTTCATCATCACGCCGTGGCCACACAACTTCCACTGAATCAACACTCTGTAACATTGTGTCAACAAAACCTTACAGGACAACCTTCACAACCGCACACTTTATTGCAGCTCTGTTCTCCTGACTGCCTTGGATTATAAAGATAGCTTTAAAACAAAAAAAACAGGAGTGGAGAATGTGAACTATAAAAGCTCCTCATGTATGTATTCTGCTGCAGTGGAGGAATCCAGCAAACATAAGACAGAAGAGAAAATATTTTATCTTGCGTGGAGGACAGATAAGACTGCTTTAGTGGAGGGTAAAGTTGCTGGGTTACATTAAAAGATGGGATCATTACTCATAAAGTGTTGAGGATGTTCAGGCTGTAATGAACTCCAGACTCCTTCCATGTTACTTTGACACAGTGCAGATGCCTCAGCACGCTGGTGGGAGTCACGACCTCCAGGCACAGGAACAATAACGCGTACAAACATTTGTCTTTTCCAGCAGCACCCACCTCAAACTCACACCAGAGGCATTTTACGCACAAGAAAATAAACGGGTAGAGAAATCTCAACTCACCTTTCCTGGCGTTTGGGAACTCCTTCGTCAAGTATATCCTGATTAGAAGTCGTCGAGTGGAGAAACAACGCGCACCTGAGCGCTCCTCCTGCGCACTTTCAACACCCTCGAGGCGCAAAGATTTTAAAAAACACCAACAGAGGTGCCAAAATAAAAAGCAATTCTCCTAAGCTATTGTGTTTTTCTTTTATCTATTTCCATCCAGACTCCATTCCAGCCTTTTCTTTGAGTCCCACACGCGGTGGATAGTCTCCGTCACCTGGGTTGGCACTTTCCTGCTGCTTCCTGTAGTTGGGCTGGTCGTTACCTGCGCGCACTGATCCGAGTACCGGGAGGAGCAGAAAGGGTGCGGCACAGGCCTGCGCGCCTGCAGCAGCTGCTCACTCGGACCGGCTCGTTTTCACAAAGGAGCGGGCTGGAGCTCTTGGTATGTTCCCTCTGCACAACCTGAGCGCTCCGGTACCCGCCCCGTGCCGGCTGGAGAGGAGGCGCACCAGCCAATGAGAGGAGCTGGAGGGAGTGAGTGACAGAGCGAGCAGGGATCTGACTCAGAACGGGTGTACATGATTTACACTGAGAGGTGAATTATTAGTGTTAGAGGGAGGTTAAGACTGGAACAGAGACAAATTACTGCAAAAGATGGGTCATAGTTTTGTTTCTTTATCAGTAATGAGAGTGTTTTAAGTCTTTTAAAGGGCACAGTATGAGACAAATAGCACAGATGCACTCAACTGAAGTGTCTCAGTCTTAGTGGCAGCAGTGAAGTGGACACACATGTTCAAAATAATAGTGAAGTAAATGAGATTAATTCCACTGATATATTGAAACCTGGGCTGCAAGGTAAACAGTGGTTAGCACTGCTGCCTCGCAGCAAGAAGGTCGCTGGTTCGCGCCCCGGTGAGGATCTTCCTGCGTGGAGTTTGTTCTCCCCGTGCAGTGTGGGTTCTCTCCGGGTTCTCCGACTTCCTCTCACACAGTCCAAAAACATGTTGAGGTTAATTGGTGATTCTAAATTGTCCGTAGGTGTGAATGTGAGTGTGCTTGGTTGTCTGTCTCTAAGTGTAGCCCTGTGATAGACTGGTGACCTGTCCAGGGTGTCTCCTGCCTTCACCCTGAGTCAGCTGGGATAGACTCCAGCCCCCCATGAGGATGGTGAGGATTAAGCAGTGTATAGATAATGGATGGATGGATGGATATTAAAACTTGGTCAAGATGAGAGCCAGCACCTCCAAAGGTCATTGTTCCCTGCTGGCAGCAAATCCACTGGTTTCCTTGCCCAAAGCAAAGGGGGGTTTAGTATCTTATTCACAGAGGGACTGGGGCAGTATCAGCTGTAGTCTTGCACAGACAGACCATTCTCTGGTACATGTAGAAGGCTGTGTAGTCAGATCATTCTACATGTCCTGGAGAACGGTCTGACCACACAGCACTATCATCCCGCTATAAGGAGGAAAAAAGTGTGTTTTTTTCTTTTTAAAACCAATGCCAGTTGTCGTGGGCAGGGCTAAGAACAGGATGGGAATTGTTTTGGTCGAGCATTTGCATGCAGGCCGGCATGAAAACGGTTCACGGAAAAAAAACAAATCTAGCAGGGATCCTTTAGTAGCACAGTCCAAACCACTGGTACAGGGCATAGCTTGCTGCCTGGAGGGTGCTGATGCTGCGGTTTCCTGAAGATGGTTATGAAAATGGCAGCGCGTAGGTAACGGAAAGAGATAAGAAAGAAGTGTGAAATATGTCAGTTGCAACTGGCAGTCTATATTAAGTGAGACTATGCCAGCAGTAACACAGGAAATAGTGAGCTGAGCCGGAAGGCAAAGCGCTCAGTTTACCAGTCGGTGTATGACCCAGAACTCTGGGTACCAAGGGGGACTTCTGTGGATGGAGCTAGTTCTGGTTGATCGTGCTGATGCTTGAGGGAACAATTTTAGGTAGATTTGTGATCCCAGAAACTAAATGTGTTGCAACTGTTACATTGCCTACAATAGAAGTACCGCCACGCAACAATCCTTCAGATGATAGCATGACTGTACAATAATGCTGCCCCCCCCCCCATCTGGACTGTACTGAACTTGTCCTCATCCTCATTCCAACTAAATCCGCCCCTGTTTTGTACAATAATGACAACCACAGAAAGAACACCACCAACCTCCAGCAACAATGGGCTGTCAGGCTCATCTTTAATTCACAAGTTGAGGGCACAAAGTCCACAGTTCACCATCTGAGTGAGAGGGCAAAAATCCAGAGAGGCTGTTTTTACATCTGACAGGAACAAGGACACATGTCAGAAATTAAGCCTGGTTATCTTGTTTTTCTTCCCTCGTTTGGGAGTGGACAATGGGAGAGCGGCTTGTAGCTTGAGCTGTTTGCACTTGAGGTTACTGGAGAAAGCTTAACTCCAGAGGCCTATCAAAAGTGTGAACCGCTGTCTCGTAATGAAAATGAGCGGAGGAAAGATAAGGAGGAAATACCAGAGATGGAGAAACAGTGAAAAGGAAGGCTGAGGGAAAAGTGGATCTACTCTTTCCTGTTTATACGAACGACCCGGTGCGTGGAAGTTTGTGTGTCAGAGGCGTGACAGGCATGTTTGTTCAACATGCTCAGTCCGCCGTCCTTATTAGGCGTGTTGCGTGTTGCGGTGTGTAGCCGATGTGTGTGTTCCAGCTGTCATTGTTTCAAGTTTGTTGAATCGGGCCCCTCCATTCTTTTACTTCCCCTCAGCGTCACCGACAGCTGCCCGGAGGCTGCATGCACGTCGTCATGGTGACGCGGATGCTGATTGCCCTCAATGCCTTCCACACCTGCTTGACGCTGTGCACGACCAAACAAATCTGTCATATTAGGGCATAATCCTGAGCAGGCCCAGGGTTACCAGCAGGCCAGCGCAGTTTACAATTACATTTAAATTTAGAAATTGGATATGATTGTACCGTGAATCATACCTTGCAGCGGTTTGACTCGTGTGAGTGCATACAATGTACACTGAGCTCTGGCAAGAGAGCAGAGTTTCTCTAACACATATCAACAAGATCCGTTCAGAGCCAACTGGCAATATGGAAAAAGTGATTATCACAGTACCTAGAAGGATTTTTTCTTTTGCACTGATAACATTAGGGTCTGTTCACACCACTGTTTAAACCTTTTTTTTTTTGTTAAATTAGTTACTTTCCCTGTAAAATCAGATGTAAGTGGATTGATTCACAGGCATGAAGTAAAGCTTTAGTAAACTTTGACGCACAAATGTGTGTCATTCACCAACAGCAAGGCATCGTTACAGAGCTAACCGTTAAAACAAGGGAAAGAACATCGTAGCTGTTTTAAACCATCCAGTTTTATTTATTCCACCTGTTGGACCATTTTACAGAGGATGTGTGGTTTCAGTTTGAACTGGCGATGGGGATTCCCAGCGGTTCTCACCTCTAAATTGCTATGACTCACGCCCTGTTTCCAACCCAAGGCCTTGAGGTGTTAATAGCGGTGAAGCTATCTGGGAAGGAGATCTCAGGAGAGCCTGATAAGTGGTGTCACACCTCCTCTGTTTAATTATGGCTGCTCCAGTTTAACATAGATGACTTCCTTCACTCCTCTCTCAAACCATTTGTCTTTCCTGTCCAGAATGTGAACATTGCTGTCTATAAAGGAGTGTCCCTTATCCTGCAGATGCAGCTGGACTGCTGAGTGTTGTCCTGAAGAGCTGCCTTCCTGTGCCGTGCCGTGCAACTGTAAAGCTGTTGTTTAGTCTCCTATATATGAAGAGTTCATTTGCAGAAACAGATAACTCCATCTTCACAAACCTTCAGAAAACTCACTTTTCCATCGTCTACCTGAGACAACACCAATCAAACTTAAGTTATCTCTATTCTTTTCATGTCATTTCTACTGAGTCAAATCCACTTAACTTCAGTTTGATTGATATTATTTCAAGCAAACAACTAAAAAAAAGCTTTCTGAAAAAAATGGAGTTATCTGTTTTTGAAAATGAGCTCTCCATATGTAGATCTATACACTCTTTGCTGCATTGCTCAGCTTGTGTGTGGGTGTTTTATCCTCAGGATTACAGTTTTTGTCTCAGATTGTTGCTGGATCTGAAGTGCACCACAATGTTGTGTTTGGAGAGAATCCTTCTGAGTCTCTCGGACAGACCAACTCCATCCGGGATAACAGTGTTGTCCCAACTTTTCTTATTTTCTTCTCTGTTTAGTATTGTGTGCGTTTTTTTTTTTTGTGTGCTGTATCTTTTTGCTATGGTTGTAAAGGCCTAGCTAGATGTACAAGTGTTTTCCTCACATGTATGTGTTCCTTTTCTTTGCCCTCTGTCTTGGTCGGGGCATTCTGGTGCTGTGAGGGGCTGATAGTTTAGTGGGTGGATGGAATCAGACAGGAGGTATCAGTCTCTGTGTTTCTGGAAAATATCAATGTTTAATGTCTTCAAGAACCAGAAAAAGAGAAGTCCAAGAAGTGGCAAATTGTGCAAGGCTGGTGTGTTCATGTCTGCAGTGTCTTATACTGAATGGAGGTATTATGTAAACAGTCCGGTTGGGAGAATTCATTCCCATGCAGAGATACTGTGATTCATAATAAAAGAGTCATCAAAATATTTCAAAGGTTTTGTCTCAGTGAGTTGTGACCAAGCTGTGATTGTGCATTTTTAGTCGTGTCCTACACAAAAGTCAGAGTTGTGCAAATTCAACACAAAGCAATAAAACATATTTCTCATATCTTCCTGTAAAACGTCCAATAAGAACTCCAGTGTGAGCAAGTTTGAAACTCGACATCAGTAGTTCTCAGATGTCTGGCTTTTGACCCAGCAGTATCGTCGAGCTACTCCCGAACACTCATCCCGTTGTCACAGGTCGATGTTGCTGATGGGCATTTCAGCTTTAAGGCAACTTCCCCATTTCAGACAGACACACTTGAAGAGTTTTTTACAAGCCTTAAGACGTCGGGCTACTCGTGATGTCTGTACGTTTAGGAAATCTCCCACCTTTTTTTCCTGTCCGGTGCCAGTCATTGCTTTTTACTGTTTTATTCTTCCTTTTTATTGTTCTTGTTGACTTTATGACCCCGGCAGTAAAGTCCCACCTGCATCCATCGTATCATGATTGCTTTCGATTGCTGTCCTTTGTACAATCAATAACCACAATGCTTTGTCGAGATGTTTATTCTTGGTTGATTTGTTTTTATATCGGCCTCTCTGTACGCCAAATCAATGCTGTGTCTCGTTGTTAGATTGTATATTGTAAGTTAAAAATATAGACAAATATATACACACTTTGACTCGCCTTGGTGATGGTGCTACTTAGCTTTGTAGTAAAATAACGCAATAACGAACCCATACGAATATTTTTTTAAAAAGCATCCAGACAAAAGGAAGTGCTATTTTAGAACAGGATGGAGGAGAAGGAGGAAAAGGAAAG